CCCGTTGCGGAGCACAGGCTCCAGACGCGCAGGCTCAGCGGCCATGGCTCACGGGCCCAGCCGCTCCGCGGCATGTGGGATCCTCCCGGACTGGGGCACGAACCCATGTCCCCTGCATCGGCAGGTGGACTCTCAACCACTGCACCACCAGGGAAGCCCCAACGAAATCTGGACTTTTAAAAACTACATGGCAATAGATTCTCCTTTATGCTTAAAGCATTTGAGATGGGTGTCTGACATGTGCAAGTAAAATACCTCCACCTGATACAAATAAACTATTAGACCACTCATTACCTGGTTTACCTAGAAGTAGTGAGAGGCTGGGGCAAGGGTAATGAGGTGGGCTTGAAATAAATACAAAGAGACTGGAAACTTTAGTAACAAAGTCAAGGAAAACAGCATTAGTATGGCCAGAGCAGAAGGTGACTCTCTCACATTTATTTGGATAAATCATATTAAAATTTAACAAACCATGTCCTAATGCCCCAGAGGTAGAAGGAAGGGAAGGGGAATTCTCTCTTCCTTCCCTCTCCTGTTGTTACCCTCCACTTTGAAGAAATTCCATTAGCAAGACACTCCTAGAATCTCTTACTGCCTCTTTTATCAATTTCCAGAGGAAAGGAAGTGACAAAATCTGAAGTATTAAGGATAGTCTGCAAAGAGAAACCATTTGTGCATAGCTCTGCCTCTGGCATGTCCTTTAAGGGAGCAAGCTGCCCTCAAGAAACACCAGTTTACCTCACTCAGTCATCCGCAGCATGGGTGTTAGAGGAACAGGCCTCGCTTCAGTCCTACCCCAGTCCTGAATTAGTTAGTGTTTGAGTGGGCAATTCTAATTCTGAAATTCAGTACATGTAAACCACATGTTTAAACATCAGTGTTATCACTAATAAAAATATCTCATTTCCACCAGACTTGCATTTGTTTTTCTCTATTGGTATAGAACTCAGGTGGCAAAAATTAAAGGAGGGGAGAGGATCGTATTTTCTTGTGTCCTTAAACTGCAGTATCTGGGAGCTTCAACCAGGTCACACCCTTGGATGCTCAATATTAATTTCATCCCTTTGGGAGCATGTACACAAACCTAATTCAAAGAATCGCTCATAAACACAAAAAACAAATTTACATTTTATGAGCTTCTATGTGGTGTTCTGACAACTAATGACAAATCGTTCTCTTAATATAAGCAAAAATAAAATAATGATGTTGGTTAACTTACATATAAAATTGTAATAGAACAAAAATCAAAATGCAACATAAATCTGCTAACAAACAATTGAATAACTAGAAGAAAGAATCACTGTATAAAATAACTTAGTATTAAAAATTGGACTGGTCATGAAAATGCAAACTAGCATAACCTAAATTTACATGATCTGAAAACAATGAAGTGAATGAAACAAATACCCTATGTCAATTTGGCTACAGCTGTTCATACCAGGGCTGGAGGCTGAGAGCTGGGGCTGGAGTCTGATGGGGAGGGGAAACCACAGCCAGTCTCGATAAGGACACAGGAACTTAACTATGATGACGCTGGCAGTCCTACTCATTCTTATTTTAGCGTGAAAAATAAAAAAGATCAGTGATGAGAACTAAAAAGTGATAAAGGGGTGATCCCTGGTGAAGACTGGAGTTCAAAAAAAAAAATCGAAGAGACAATTTTAAAGTTTATTGGGATCTTTTAGGGAAAAAATAGATAAGTTTATAGATAAGTCGGCCCCTAGAATTGAGGGGTTAGGAAATTCTGCTCATTAGAACATGAATTTCATAAAGCAAGAAAATCATGTAGAGTGTTGACTGAGCTCTTCAAGAAGAGCTTGAAGAAAGGCTTTGCACAAGTAAGAGAAGGGAAGCTAACAATGAACTTTGAGAATTTAGCCCAGGGATGCAGACGGATTTAAAAGTCAGGATAACTCAGAGAGCTTCGACTTGGAGCTGGTGGGGTTAGGGGGGCGGGCAGGGGACTGAAGCAGGTGACCAAATTAGAAAGGGGCCAAATCAGAAAATGAACTTGCGTCACTATGTGCTAAAGGAACTCTCCTGGCTGCAGATAGAGATGCCAAAAAAGATGTATGCTGTTGCACCTGGAAAATGCACTGAAGAGATTGCTTAAGTTTGAAACTTGTGCCAAACTAAGCAAATATATATATATTTTTAAATCTGTGTATCACCTAAGCAAAATTAATAACCGGGAACCTTTTCACTCATCTCTTCTTTTTTTAGAGTCATTTCAATAAAATAATCTTTATTATGGTGTAGTATGTAATGTTAAAGTTATAATAACACCATCAACTTAGTTGTATTATTCTCTATGATATGCTTAGGTTTCTCAGGCAGGTGTTACCAATCTGCTTTTTGTTGTTGCTTCCCAAAGAATGAATGAATGAATCAATCAATCAATTTATTTATTTCTAGGAGATGTCCCTTTATAATTTTGTTTTATATTTTTTATTAATTTTTATTGGACTATAGTTGCTTTAGAGTGTTGTGTTAGTTTCTTATTGGGACCGACATATATACACTACTATGTATAAAATAGATAACTAATGAGAACCTACTCTATAGCACGGGAAGCTCTACTCAATGCTTGGTGGTGACCTAAATGGGAAGGAAATCTAAAAAAGAGTGGATATGTGTATACATATGACTGATTCACCTCACTCATATCTTTTGAATGCTGTCTTAAATTAAAACTTCCACTTAAGGGGAGAATGTATGCATACTTCACAGCAGCTGCTTTCAAACTTTGGAGGAGAGACGAGTAACTTGGGAGAAACGTAACAAGCAAAAACCAAGACTACTGAATAGTCCCTATATGCCAGGCATCATGCTAGGCACTTTATAACCACCATCAAATGTCACTATCACAATAAAACTGTAGAGAGGCACCACTGTCTTGCTTTAGAGGTGAGGACGCTTTGCTTAGAGACGTTAAACTTCTATCAAAGTTCATAAATGGTAGGTGATAAATGGTAGATCCCCAAATTGAACACAGGCATGTTTCGGTCCAAAGCCCATATCTTATCTTGTACACTATACTGTTTCTGGAGAAAAAGCTTGACTCATTCCTTGCATTATTGCCCAAGAAAAGCTGTAGGTGGAATTTAACTGGTGAAATTTCCATGCAGAAATTGTGATGAGTTCACACTCCTTTTCAGTGGCCAAGTATTATAGTGTCCTTCCATCTAATTCACGGGTAATGTATCCAGCCCCTTCCCCAGAACAGCCATGCTGCCTCGACTCCTATTCACACATTCACTTCCATAGTTCACTGATGGCCAGCAAGCAGTTTACAGACCAGCTTGACTCAAGAGTATTGAAGTTTGTTGAGAACATCAACCTACTCAAAATTTTGGCCAAGTTCAAGCTGTAACTTCCCCCACAAGGCATTAGCATATAGTGGATGAGCACGTAGGCTCTGAGGCTTGACTGCCTGGGTTCATAACGTTTCTGTGCCTCAGTTTCCCTGTGAAATCAAGAGGAAATTATCAGGGTTAAATGTATCAGTACATATAAAGTACTTAGAACAGTGCCTGTTAACTATTACTAATTATGTAGCTTTCATTTTTTTTCCTTTCTCTGAAGTGTGTTAAGAATTTCCTGGTGACTTCATTTATTGCTTTCTCCCTTTTACCAGAACACAAACTCTTTTTAAGTAGGGGCCACGTCTTGCCTCTTCTCTATGCCCGACAGGGTTTGGCAAAGGAGCCCAGGCACAGCAAGCATCCCTCACATCTGCGGAAGGAGGCTGTATTTGAGACATCTGCTTTGGAGTCACCACTAAGAGCAGGCCAACACTGAGAGCTCAGCAAAGACACCGGGGAGAGGCTTAGAGGAGGCAACTTGACCTCCCTTGGCTCACAGACATGGGGAGAGAAGTTAAGAAAACTTAAAGGCTTACAAAGCCTTAGTAAAGGATGCATGTTTTGCCCACAGTCCTCCAGCTCTACCACTCTCACATCCTTTTCTCCTCGATATCAACATTTTTCAAAAGTATATACTGTAACATGCTTTAGTAATTTAAAAGAAGTTCTGGTGCCAAATAAATTGGGCAAACACTGCATATGTAATTATTGATAATGAGCAATGTATATTAGCATATTAAAGGCTCCTAATAGGTCTTTCAAGTAAGAATTCCACTTCATTTTGTTTAACCTAACATTTTCCAAATTGATCTCATCCCTTTTTTTTTTTTTTTTTTTTATTTAAGGGAAAGGCTCCTAATAGGTCTTTCAAGTAAGAATTCCACTTCATTTTGTTTAACCTAACATTTTCCAAATTGATCTCATCCCTTTTTTTTTTTTTTTTTTTTTAATTAACGGGAGAAAAACGTTTTTTCTTGGAAAATGATTTTTACAGCTTGGCGCTGTACGTGCTATATAGGACTAGGGAAGGAAAGGAAAAAGTCAACATGGACCAGAGGAGTCAGAAGAGAGGTGAATTTCTGTACCAGCAAAAAGTTCTAGGTGGCGTGGGTGGTCCCTGCAGTGTCAGGCCCTAATGCTGAGGATCTAACCCAAGGGAGGTATTCTTTTAATTTACTCTTAATCATAGAAATCCAGCTCAATCAATCAATCAATCCTTATTAACTGTCAATTGAACTTAATATTTTTCCAGGAACACATTATATTACAATAAATGAAAACTGCCAGGCCGAGGACTATTTCTTTCCTTGCTTTAGATTTCTTATACGTCTGACCTATTCTTTGCATCATTTCTACAAACTAGCTGAAAATCTGACCTCCTGGGCGACTTTAAACAGCATGAAAGGCATTACTAAATAAGCCAATAAGACACTACTTAATAACCTGAGGACTATGTGGTTTTTAGTTTCATTGCCTGATTTTATGACTTCTGTGAGCTAAAATTAAAATTCCCAAACCCCTTATCACTGTAAGAAGCAATCCAAGGTTGTGGCTCATAAGCAAAATAGCTCCTTTCTTCTCCCAAGTTTCATTATCCTTATGGCTGCTTTTTTTCCCCATCAGCAGCAAAGTAGGGGGTAAGGCAGAAAATGAAACAGCTTCATTAATTTCAAATATCAAATTACTGGATGACTTGGGCATCCATGGTTTAATCCTGCCTTTTAATTATTAGTGGTAAGAGAAAGCACACTTATAATTACCTTTACTGTAAAGCTTCTAAACAAGAATAATGACTGAGGGAGGCATTACACATTACTGTACCCTCAGTCCTGCAGTTCTTCATAACTATAGATTTAAGGGTATACAATTTCCCTATGGAAATAAAAGGAACTTGCTGTCTGGAAAGGGCAGGGTGAGGTCGCCATCTAGTGGCTATTTATTGAAAACACGCTGCAAATAGCACTGTTGGCTTTACTGGGCTAAACCCAGAGCAGGCCCCAAGGGACGTGACATGTTATCACTGCTGCCTTTGCAGGCTGCTCTCTGCATTCCCTCATGGGGATTTCTTGAAGAATTAATTCAGGTTGGCTGTGGGTTCTAAAGCTTACAATCATTCTGCTTATTTTCATTACATAAAGCTAAGTTACCCTTCAGGCATAGAGAACAGCAACTGTTATCTCCCACTACTAAGTTATGTCTATGTACAACTGGAGGGTGTTGGCTAATCACTGTAGTTCTGTTTGTCTTCTCTTTGGGAGGGAAGGGGTTGGGTACTGTTGTGTACCTACCGAAATGTATTCCTCACCTCACCCCAATCTGTTCCACTGTATTTTACCTATAGTGTAAGACACATCATTTTCTTAGAATGAACTGGGACGTCTGACAAGCAGCTTGACGTGGTCAAATCACACAGACATGAATTTAGAGCTTACGCACACAACTCCCTCTAAGTTCGTGTTGCCCTTACGTAAAATGACAATAAGAACACTTAAGCTGCAAGGCAATGGTATGCTCCAGAAGATTACAGGAGTTGATATGTGTACAAGGCTAACCCAGCGCCTAATGCCAGCTGGGCACTGGATATATGTGAGCTGTTCTCGCTCCTTCCAGACTCTCCTTCTTGACTCACGCACACCCATACACACAAACACACTCCTACCTGCACAAACACATACATGGCTCACTATAATTCCTGACTCCAGGAGAACAGAAGCTCAGGCTCATGATTATAAAATTAAATTACAGAACCCAAAATTGCAGAAACTTTATTCTGAAAATAGTCTTAGCAACAACAGAATTTCAAGGTGTAAAGCATTTTAGTGACAATGACTGTTAAACCCGAAGGCTCCTGACTCTAACCTGTCTTATTCACAGAAGAAACTGTAGACGTGGCTTAGGCCACTGACTTCATTTGACAGGTCCAGAAATGGTAAGTGACTTTCCCAACATCCTGCAGAGAATCAGCATCAGGGTCCAGGTCTCCTGAAACCAACAGCGTTCCGCGTAATACCCCATCCTGCCCCATGTTTTCCCTTCCCACATGGACAAGAAGTCTGCATAACAGATATGCACGGCTCTCAAATATTGGAGAGTAAAAATTTTTGAGTGCAGCATGTAAGATGCACTGAAAGATGCCTTCTCTCTTCTCCCCTAGAGCTTATTAAATTATCCATCAAATTCTGCCCAAAGATCTACCTTCCTAAACCACTCCAGATTTCTCCAGCCCAAACTGATAATTGAGAAAATTATCTTCTGATTGACAATTATAATCTTACTCACCCAAATTAGAATCTCATTATATATTCCTTGTCTTATTTTCAAATTCCCGAGTCCTATCTCATCTACAAAATTGGTTCATTGTTGAAGGAAATATAGGTAATTTTGTTCTTCCTTTTTATCTTGTACAATCCCTAGCACATTCCTGAAATATAACAGGCTGTCAAGAAATACTTATTGCTTGTGTGAGGGTCTGAATGTTCCTTTACGTTTGTACGGATTCATTCGCTTATTCCTTGCCCTCCTAGAATGTAAATTCCACCAGACCAAGGACTTGCCTAATTGTCCACCACCACATTCCCAGTGCCTTCTAAAGCAGTGCTTAGTACAGAGTAGGTACTCAATTAATAATGATTAAATAAGTTATTAAATAAATGAATAATTATTCAGCACCTTCTAAGTATCATGCACTTACTTCGGTACTTACTTGTACCTATAATGTTCTGAATTTCTGGTTTATCCATCTCCCTCTACTGGAGAGAGACTCATTCAAGAGGGAAGGAACTGGCACTTTGAAGGATGATTGATAAGTGGTTTTTGAGTAACTGAATAATAGAAGGATCTGTAGAACTCTACGTCTGTTCTCCAGACACATACTCTATGCCTAAGGAGAGAGAGCCCCATCAATATGTAACCACCATAGTGGATAAGTTCTGTAATACAGATCAATGAAAAGGGATTATGAAAATATAGAGGAAGATCTTCTTAGTCTTACCTGAGCCTTACCAGAGAACAAGACATGTGACTTCTGTTTAGCAAAATACAAGGTTTTCAAACACAATACTTTGCTCACTGAATGACCAAGAGGAGTCTGAGAGCAAAGAGAGACAAATTCACTACAGCTGTACTCACCCTCAGCCACATCATCGTCCACGGTTAACTTAAGGCTTTTTCCTCTCCGCACCACCCGAACGGTGTGCCATTCGTTGTCATTGAGCTTCTGCCCCGCGTACAGGGTCTCTGGTCCTTTGCCTAAGGGCAGTGGTAAGTGCCAAAGTTAGAATCAATTCTAAAAGTAGTGTTCATGGCATCAGAGTTGTGAAAGCCACACTGGTGCACATGACCCAGTAGCATTCAAGGAATCGTATCCCTCCAGAGCCCATCTGAGTTTCACTGATCCAACAGGGTCCTCCACAGCAGTACCCAGTGCAAAATCTCAACTGAATCATAATGGACAATAACAAATAAGTGCCCTCCTTTATCTAAAGCTGCAAGATATTTAAAATGCCAATGGCAACAAGCAAACATTTACAGGAAACAGTAATTTTGTTTCCTAAAGTCTTAGACTTCAGATGAATTTCTTGAAGATATAGGAAATTCATCATACATTCCTTTAGAATCATTTGGTCACTCAGGCATAATACACCAGTCTGGCTTTTGCAGAGTATCCACCAATTCGATGAGAAAAGAGCTATGCTTTTAACTTGACATTTCCATTAACCCACGGTCTTACCAGAATTCCGTGACCACAGAAATCACGACAGTAACCGTTACCATAATAATAATGTCAAGGCTTAAAACCCGCTATAAATAATGCTCCTGAAGGGAATATGATGGGCCCCAGGCTTATTCATTGTTCATCATCTTCCAAAAAGATCCAAAGACTTAAAATATGAAATAATGCAAAATTCCAAAATTGAACGTGTTTAGGTCAAAAGACTATTCAGTAAAACGTGCCACTAAATAAAGGAATAAACCAAGTTGCCTCAAAAGATCCATGATCAAGATGCTCAAGATGGTGTTCAAGTGAACCCTAGGAAGAATCAGATGCAACAAGGAATTATGGTATTTAGGGGCAGAAGTTGGCAAGACGAACACTGAGGCATTGAAACATTTCAGTTAGTAACGAGGGGGAGTGGAATATTATGTTTCACTCGCCATTGAACTGAGGTGTAAGTTGAAAAAACAAAGAAGATTGCATTGAACCAGAAAACTTAGAACAAGTTTGCTCTCTCTACATAGATAGCTGATCCCACGCAGAAAGATACTGCTTAAATCTTCCTACATTAGTCAGTCAATATATGTAAAGCCTTACTTCTGAGAAAAACTTGCAAAAGAAAAAGATGAAACAGGTAACTGGGCAATACATCTCTATGGATGTTATGCATCTGCAATATTTCAGAAGACTACACACTTGGCTCCAACATATAGGAGCACAGGGCCAGGTACACAGTAGGTGCTTTAATGAGTGCTTGTTGAATAACTGATGTCTACCTATGTCTTTACTTCTTTGGAAACCATCAGTAAGGTCAGTATACTTTTATCTAAGTAATTTTGAAACTTTTATTATATATCTCTCCTTAACCACTATCCCCACTCCTCTACCTCCAAGACTGAAGATATTATATATCGTTTAGGGGAGGAAGGAAGAAAGAGTATCATTTGGGTAGAGATCTTTTAAGCTAGGTCATTTTAAATTGGATCCTTTAATTTTCAGTAATTAGTATTTCTATTAAGTGTTGGTTATAAGAGTTATGACAGTAGCTGAAGTTTGGGGAAATTTCCTGTTTGAAAAATAAACAGGCTTTCAAAGTGGAAAGATTTCTTTCAATCACAACGTATTCAGCAGGTAATTTGTGTTTAATATTTTTCAGAATGTACCTATACCCCACGTGCAATCCATAGTTACAAAAATCCTGAGAATTCCGTGAAGAAACTTAGAATGGACCAAATGCACCCAGAACTGAGTAATGATGCCACGAGACCAATGAAAAAAATAATTCTACAACAAAGGATGTAATACACAATCTTAGCTTCTCTTTGTGGGCATTCC